CAGCACCAGGCTAAAGGTCAAAGGTGACAGATCATCTGCTGCTGTGGCCCCCAGACTCTGGACCTCTCTCCCCCTGAGCCTGAGATCAGTGGACTCAGTGGTCTCCTTTAAAAAGCAGCTGAAGACTCACTTGTTCAAGCTGGCTTTTGTATGACCTTCTTCACCTCTCTCTCTTTATTCTGCTCTCCCCACCTATTCCACCTTCCTCAGGATCCACTGATTTCCCTCTTTCCTGTTCACTCTCTCTCTTTCTTAACATTTTTTCTTTTAAATCCCAATTGCCTATTTTTGCTCATTTTAAATATATTTTTAAACATTTTCTAAATGCTTTTTAATATTTTAACTTTTTTTTTGTTTTTGTGAAGTGCCTCGTGATTTTTTTCTTGAGAGGCGCTGTAGAAATGATATTTTCTTCTTTTTCTTCTTCTTCTACTCGTGAACAAGACCCCGAGATACTTAAACTCCTCCACTTGAGATAGGACCTCTCTCCCGACCCGGAGTTGGCAAGCCACCCTTTTCCGGTCGAGAACCATGGTCTCAGATTTGGAGGTGCTGATCTTCATCCCAGCCGCTTCACACTCGGCCGCGAACCTACCCAGCAAGAGCTGAAGGTCAGAGCTGGACGAAGCTAGGAGGACCACATCATCACAAAAAGCAGAAACGAAATTCTCCTGCCACCAAACTCGACACACTCCACACCACGGCTGCGTCTAGAAATTCTGTCCATAAAGGTAATGAACAGAACCGGTGACAAAGGGCAGCCCTGGCGGAGTCCAACCCTCACCGGGAACAGGTCCGACTTACTACCGGCTATGCGGACCAAACTCACGCTCCTCTGGTAAAGGGACTGAATGGCCCTTAACAGAAAGCCACCCACCCCATACTCCTGGAGCGTCCCCCACAGGGTGCCCCTGGGGACACGGTCATAAGCCTTCTCCAAATCCACAAAACACATGTGGATTGGTTGGGAAAACTCCCATGCCCCCTCCATCACCCTTGCAAGGGTATAGAGTTGGTCCACAGATCCACGGCCAGGACAAAAACCACATTGCTCTTCCTCAATCTGAGATTCAACTATCGATCGGACCCTCCTCTCCAGTACCTTGGAGTAGACCTTTCCAGGGAGGCTGAGGAGTGTGATCCCCCTATAGTTGGAACACACCCTCAGGTCACCCTTCTTAAAGATGGGGACCACCACCCCGGTCTGCCACTCCACAGGAACTGCCCCCGATGACCACGCAATGTTGCAGAGATGTGTCAACCACGACAGCCCTACAACATCCATAGCCTTGAGATACCCAGGACAAATCTCATCCGTCCCCGGGGCTCCGCCGCTGTGTAGTTGTTTGACTACCTCAGCAACTTCTGCCCCGGAGACTGGACAGTCCATCCCCAGGTCTCCCGGCTCTAGTTCCTCCTCGGAATGCGCATAGGTGGGATTGAGGAGCTCCTTAAAGTATTCCTTCCACCGTCCGACTATAGCCCCAGTTGACGTCAGCAGCTCCCCATCCCCACTGTAAACAGTGTGAGCGAGTTGCTGCCTTCCTCTCCTGAGGCGCCGGAGAGTTTGCCAGAACCTCTTTGGAGATGATCGATAGTCTTTCTCCATGGCCTCACCAAACTCCTCCCACGCCCGAGATTTTGCCTCTGAAAATGCCACTGCTGCACCCCGCTTGGCTACCCGGTACCTGTCTGCTGCCTCTGGAGACCCACAGACCAGCCACGCCCTGTAGGCCTCCTTCTTCAGCCTGACGGCTCCCCGAACCTCTGGTGTCCACCAGCGGGTATGGGGGTTGCCACCACAACTGGCACCGGCCACCTTGTGACCACAGCTAGCAACAGCTGCCTCAACAATCGCAGAGTGGAACAAGGCCCACTCGGAGTTAATGTCCCCCACTGCTATCGGGACACGGTCAAAGCTCTGCCGGAGGCAGGAGTTGAAGACCGTCTTGACAGGTTCTTCTGCTAGGCGTTCCCAGAGACCCTACCCATGTGTTTGGGTCTGCCAGGTCTACACGGTAACTTCCCCTGCCATCTGATCCAACTCCCCAACAGCTGGTGATCAGTTTACCGCTCCGCTCCTCTCTTCACTTGGTTGTCCAAAACATACGGCCGCAGGTCAGATGATACGACTACGAAGTCTATCATCGGCCTGCGACCTAGGCTGCCCTGGTACCAAGTGTACCGATGGGCATCCTTATGTTCGAACATGGTGTTCGTTATGGCCAAACTGCAGCTTGCACAGAAGTCCAATAACGAAACATCACTCGAGTTCAGATCAGGCGGGCCGTTCCTCCCAATCACACCCCTCCAGGTCAAGCTGTCATTGCCCACGTGAGCACTGAAGTCCCCCAGCAGGACAATGGAGTCCCCTGATGGAGCACTATCTAGCACTCGTCCCAGGGACTCCAAAAAGGGTGGGTACTCTGAACTGATATTTGGCCCATAAGCACAAATAACTGTCAGGACCCGTTCCCCGACCCGAAGGCGCAGGGAAGCTACCCTCTTGTCCCCCGGGGTAAACCCCATCACACAGGCAGAGAGTCTTGGGGCTAACAAAAAGCCAACCCCAGCCCTCCGCCTCTCACCCGGAGCAACTCCAGCAAAGGAGAGTGCCCAACCCCTCTCAAGGACTTGGGTTCCAGAGCCAATGCAATGTGTCGAGGTGAGTCCGACTATATCTAGCCGGTACCGCTCAACCTCTGCCACAAGCTCCTGCTCCTTCCTCGCCATCGAGGTGACGTTCCATGTCCCAATAACCAGTTTCCTTGTTCGGGGATCGGACCGCCAAGGCTCCCGCCTCGGTCTGCCACCCGATCCACATTGCACCGGACCCTTCATGTTCCTCCTGCGGGTGGTGGGTCCACAGTTGGATGAGCCCATGTATCCGGTTCGGGCTGGGTCTGGCCGGCCCCCATGGGCAATAGCCCGGCCACCAGGCACTCGCTCACGAGCCCCAACCCCAGGCCTGGCTCCAGGGTGGGACCCCGGTAACCCTCCGGGCCGAGTACTCAGACTCTTTGATTTTATGTCCATAAAAGATCTTCTGAACCGTTCTTTGCCTCACCCTTCACCTAAGACCCATTTGTCATGGGAGACCCTACTGATGAAGTTGTAGCTGGTTAAAACAAATAATAGTGGTTTGGTTCTGGAAAAGGTGGTTCAATGCCGATAAAAGTGTTCTGCTGTAAGATCTGGCATGATCAAAAGCTGTTCAGTTAGCATTTTGGCTGGAATTCACCAGTAGAGAGTCTCTAACTTTTAAGATCTGCGTTGGACCAATCAGAGACCAGGAAAAATGTAGGAGGCGTAACCAACTTCCTCTGCACCACATATTTCCTTAATAGACTTATAAGGAACTTTTCCACTTACTATCATGATCTAAGTAAGCTATAACTGTCATTGTTAATATACTGATAATAATATGTGACATGACTGATAATAAATAATTGTTAACTCATCAACTAGATGTGTTTGGTGTGTTTAAGATCGGAAATTATGCATTTCAACAGTTATGGGCTCGACACACGGGAGGCGACATCGCCTCTCCTCCATTCATTTTCAATGAGACATGCGTGACAAAGCGATAATCGCGGGTCTCCCTCCTACTAAGCGAAACGCGAAAAACATGCGTGTGAAATTTAGCGCTCGTGCACGTGTCGTGCACAGGCGACCCAGCGACGCGATCCCAGAAAGTTGAAATATTTTCAACTTTTCATCGCTGTCGCTCGGACGAGGACCAATCAACGCAGGTTTCATTCACTGACCAATGAGCGGACAGGATGCTCCTCCGAGCAAACATGGAGAAGTTGATTATTATTATGTTTAATAGTAAAATCAGAAGTAAGATTTCACATAACTCTAGCAGCACCTTGTGAAACATCATATCTACCGCTTTATTAACTCTGAACCGCTTAAATAACCTTAATTCCCTCCAACCTGACACAGCCAAGCAAAACAACGGAAGTTTAGATTTCACCATGGGACAGAACGTGTAGACGGCTTTGCCGCTGGCCGCCTCCCGTGTGTCGAGCCCATTAAGTTATTTTGATTCAATCATTACTTTGAAGCAATCAAGTCTTATTAAATTCACTTTAGACCAAACATTAATTCTTCTATGATTGTAATTAACCTGTAAAGGAAGAAAATAATTGTATAGAAAGAATATATATTCTTTTATAAACTTAAGAGTCCTTTCTTCTCCAGGAGACGTCTTGTGATTCGCAGCAGAGATGACGAAGCTTTGTTAGGGTGATTTCCCCCGGTGGTGACGCTGGCTTATGGAGAGGTGGTTATGAACAGAGCATTTGTTTTGCTTTGGAGACCACACAGACCAAAGCTGATGTATAATTATACTTATTAATAATGCTGACATCAGGAGCAACATCAGTGGAATGAAATGCTCCTGGCTGCAAATGAAGATTAAACACAACAGGTGTTGGGACGCAAATTCAATTAGAACTCATGATTAAAAGTTTAAACTCCACATTTATTAATGATTCAGTCATCAAGAACAAAGCTGCAGCTGCTGCTGCCGTTGTGGGCCAGCGGTGTCGCTAATGAATGGAGGAGAGGCGATGTCGCCTCCCGTGTGTCGAGCCCCTAAAACAGTCTTTAATACTCAGAAGCAGGAACACTGATCAGAAACTATTGATCACCATGAGTTATTGAAGGTATGTGATGGGATGTAGGTAGTGAGCTTCAGTGGTTTCTGCAGCTCATTCCGGTCGTTGGAAGCAGCAAACTGGAATGAGGAGCGGCCAAAGGAGGTGCGAGCTTTGGGAATAACCAGAGATGAAGTTACTGGAACGTGAATGGTGCTGGTTGTTGGAAGTAATGAGTGAAGATATGACGGTTCTACCGATGATTGTTGTGTGTGTGTGTGTGTGTGTGTGTGTGTGTGTGTGTGTGTGTGTGTGTGTGTGTGTGTGTGTGTGTGTTTTGCTGCCCTCAGGTTTCCAAACTGTAACATAAAACTCAATGTTTTATTTTCTTTACAGGTTTAAGTCATCCACCTACACTGAGACCCGTCACCATGACAACAGCTGTCCAAACCACCAGCAGCACTGCACCAACAACCAAGCTTCAAACCACCACAACGACCACAGCTTCAGCACCAACCACAAGCAGTCAGGCCCCGCCCACTACAACAAGGGTAACACCCACCACCTCACAGGCCCCGCCCACTACAGCATGGGTAACACCCACCACCTCACAGGCCCCGCCCACTACAACAAGGGTAACACCCACCACCTCACAGGCCCCACCCACTACAACAAGGGTAACACCCACCACCTCACAGGCCCCGCCCACTACAGCATGGGTAACACCCACCACCTCACAGGCCCCACCCACTACAACAAGGGTAACACCCACCACCTCACAGGCCCCGCCCACTACAGCAAGGGTTACACCCACCACCTCACAGGCCCCGCCCAAAATCAAATCTCCCTCGCCCATTATCCTCATCATGCCGATGCCCACGACAACTTCACAACCAGCTACAATGGTGATGACGCCTGGCCCTCCGCCAACCCCCACCTCAAGAAAACTAAGCAAAAACAACAAAAAGCAAAATAAAGCCTCAAAGAAAGGCAAACCCCATCATTTCAGCACCACAACCTCTCAGCCATCTATCAGCTCTACGTCACTTCCTGCCACAACTAAAGAGGTGGAGGCGGAGCATAGAACTTCTGACCCCTTAGAGAAACCCACAGAGAGTACAACTCCACCCACCACTACTGTTCTAACTACTACCGCCACAGTTCCCACCACAACTACCGCTGCTGCTCCTCCTCCCGCTAACACATACACAACTACAACACGTTCCACCGCTGCCACCACCACCACTGAGTCCTCCACCACTACAGCTCCTCCAACAAGCCTGATCATTGTACCCAAAGACATCCTCCAATCAGAGCACACCCTACAGAACTCCAGCTCCAATAGAGACAAGACATTTGCTGCTCACAGAGCCCTGAATAGTGGTGTGGTAGCTGTTATGGTCGTGGGACTGGCCATGCTCACACTGGCCCTTACACTCGGCGGGCGGAAGGCGATGGAGTCTTTTGATAGACGACATTATACGAGACTGGAGCTGAATGATCTGCACTACGAGATTTAAAAGGGAGAATGTCTCGAGGTTTTTTAACTTTAAATACTTAATTGAATAAGAGTGGGGCGTGTCCCACACGCAGCTACCGACCCTTTGTACCTGCGTCACTAGATCACGTGGGTCCACCATATCAGAGGGCAAAAGAATGGCAAACAGTGAGCGAAACGAGTGTCGAACAAGGGGAAGTAGTGGCCGAGACCATGTTTTTGTTATCGTTTTTTGCAATGTTTACCATGACTTCATCTAGTTCAAGTCCATTTCCATGATTGGAAGAAGTAGAGCAGTTAGGTGGGGCAGCAATGAATTACGGGGGGTATGATGCAAATGATGCAGGTCAACGGGGCTAAAAACGCAGTTTTCTAATCCGCTTTGCCTCACGCCCTCAGAGTAAGGACTCCAAAGCGCTTTACACTACAGTGTATCATTCATCCATTCACATACTCATTCACACACTGGTGGTGATGAGCTACGATGTAGCTACAGCTGCCCTGGGGCGAGCTGACAGGGGCAAGGCTGCCGAGCACAGGCGCCACCGGTCCCTCTGACCACCACCAGCAGGCAACGTGGGTTAAGTGTCTTGCCCAAGGACACAACAGCAGAATTCTCTGTCCGGAGCCGGGATCAAACCTGCAACCTTCCGATTACTGGACAACCCGCTCTACCTGTTGAGCTGCTGCTGATGGGGGTTTCGACCACGCCAGTCACGTACTTTGAGATCGGCTCGTCGCACATGTGACGTCACCACATACCCCCCCCAGCTTAGCTGCTACTTACCACATGACCACATTTATGGCGGTTCTTTCCTCCTGAAGGAAGGATTTGTAGTTTGCTGCACCTAAAGATTTGTTCCCTCAGTGTTCTCCGTGTCTGGTTTGATGACGTCACTTTCGTGAAGCGCATTTGTAGTCCTGGACTTATTTTCACACAAAACCTAAAATCGCTTTTCCCCTGTTCTTGGTATGAAAATGAGTCCCGGACCTCATACGTGAAATCCATGACACTTAGCAAACGGAATTGGAAAATAGCGTTTTTAGCCCCGTTGAGTTGCATTCATTTTGTCGTTCCTCCGGGTACCCGTGATGCAGAAGTACATGGGCGTGACTTAGGCTCCCTGTTGAACGGCGAGGAAACCTGGAAACTGAGGTTATTTTTTTTCCAGTTCAGCCTGGTTTCTATTAGATCACGCCCAGTGGGATGGTGTCGGACACCTAGGTGAGGCTCATAGTGAGCGGTATTTACAAAGTTACGTGTTAACTAGCTTACTATCGTTAGCTTTCGTGCTCCCTGCTGCTGTACAAAGATGTAAACAAGTAGCTGACAGGATTCACCCTGCTGGATTTCTACCATTATGTGATGAACAGTGTTTCCCTTTAACCTGGATCTGGTTATAAAAAGTCTGGTCCCCATCAGTTTTTGTCGCTGGCAGGGTCACTGGGTTCAGATGCTACTCGCACCGCGGAGAGGGGAGTTAGCGGCGTCGCTCATCGTGCTGAATAAATAACCTAATTTACGCACACAGTCCTACATTGAAACAATGTTATTAGTATCTAGTAACTCGGTACGGCGGACGGTAACGCACGCCCTCCATGGTGAAATGTAGGATTATCAATACTAAATAAGTAATACAAACACATCACATTTACCATTCCAGGTCCATCAGAAGCACTTGAACGTTACTCTTACCCAGTAACGCGTGTGTGCTGCACGTGCCAGAGTACTGCCCCGGCTGCTGGTCTGATGGATCCCTGTGGTTCCTTCTGGTTTCTGGTCTCCTTCAAAGTTATTAAAAACAGACGAGCTGAGTTTAGATCCTTGTCTGTCAGTGCAGCCAACCGCGCAGCAAGCTGTTAGCATTTTGCTGTGGAGCCAACTGTGTTGAAGCTGCAAACGGGCTCCAATGAAGCTTAAACGTGTGGAAACGGTCTTTCTGCCCACTGTAATGGCTAAGAGGGCGGTCCTGTGAGCGGCGTGATGTCACGTGGAAAGGGGGACTAGCTCACGCCCATCTACGTCTTGTCTGTGGGTTCGTGAGTCTATGGTCCAAATAAAAGTTATTCTCTGATCCCCGTCTGATATGTGCCATGGATTTAAGATGTCCGTGAATTGTTAAAAACACGTTTGGATGCCAAGAAATGACTGATTTTACACGGGCAGCAAATTTACTTCAGGTTTTGTGTGAAAAGACGTAGAGGACTACAAATGCTCAAAAACTGTCTGAGTCTGAGCGAGCGTCACGTCCTTCTTCGGGATGACAGGAAGAGCATTAAACGTGGAAGAACGGCATGTGGTTCTGTAGCAGCAACACTGGGGAGAAGAGATGCTGCTGACGTCAATCTTTAGTCTTAATCACCATTTTTACAAGCTAATTGATCTCAGACATGGTCAAAACTCACATAATAATGTTTCATTTAAATGAAAATAAAACCCGTGTGTGGTTCAGGGCGTGAGGCAGAGCGGAGCAGAAAATAACTTGTATAGCCTCGTTCAGGGACCCACAAGCCGACGGAAGGGGAGGAGCCTAAGGCTTCTTATGAAGCCAGGTAGGATGCTTTTCTGTGATCGGTCTGTTTGTCTCCATTTAAAGTCCTCATCAAAATAGCTCTCTCTCTCTCTCTCTCTCTCTCTCTCTCTCTCTCTCTCTCTCTCTCTCTCTCCTCTCTCTCGCTCTCTCTCTCTCTCTCTCTCTCTCTCTCTCTCTCTCGCTCTCTCTCTCTCTCTCTCTCTCTCTCTCTCTCTCTCTCTCTCTCTTCTCTCTCTCGCTCTCTCTCTCACTCTCTCTCTCCGCTCTCTCTCTCTCTCTCTCTCTCTCTCTCTCGCTCTCTGCTCTCGTCTCTCCTCTCTCTCTCTCTCTCTCTCTCTCTCTCCGCTCTCTCTCTCTCTCTCTTCTCTCTCTCTCTCGCTCTCTCAGCTCTCTTCTCTCTCTCTCTCGTCTCTCTCTCTCTCTCGCTCTCTCTCTCTCTCTCTCTCGCTCTCGCTCTCTCCTCTCTCTCTCTCTCTCGCTCTCTCTCTCGTCTCTCTCCTCTCTCTCATCTCACTCTCTCTCCTCTCTCTCGCCTCTCTCTCTCTCTCGCTCTCTCTCTCTCTCTCTCTCTCTCTCGCTCTCTCTCGCTCTCTCTCTCTCGCTCATCTCTCTCTCTCTCTCTCTCTCTCTCTCTCTCTCGCCATTTCAAATAGGAAACATTAACTCTGCTGTGATTGGTCGGCTTTAGTAACCTGTTAAACACCTCCCACTTTCTGTGGTCAAGGGGGAGGGGAGAGGACATGTCTTCGTTCGCGGTCAGGCACATGCCCCGAGTGAGAGATGAGTTGTCACATTTTTTAATCGTCACATGATGTAGATAATCCTCTGAGATGATTTGATGTGTGGTTTGTTTAATAATCCACTCAGAGTTCACCGTCGTGGTCTTTGATGTGTTTTCTCGGCAGCGTTATTCTACAAATATCACTTATTGATTAGGTTTTTTTTAGGATGAGTTGTGTTCATCGAGCACCGTTTTGATGTTTTCGCATCATAAATGAAATATAATCATGTTTATAGAACGGTTGTAATAATACCTAAAGTTCAACTAAGAAGCTAAAACTATTAAATGTTATTACAAAAACAAATCAAACTTTATTCCAGACACCAAGTCCAGAATTACAACCAGTCCAGGAAACTACAAAGTCCATTAAATCTGCTAAACCATCACAGATTTAAAGGCATCTCCCTGTTCTGGGACACAAGTAAAAACCTTTCTTCTGTTACTTAAATGTGCGATGGGATGAAAAGATCTAATCTCGGATTTTCCCCACAATCACTGAATCTGTGGGTCACAGAAAATGTTGTAACACCACCTGAACTCAACAGCTACCATCAGCCATAAAGACACAACATGACCTTACGTTTTTTCTAACGCTGTGGCCGTATGTAACATATAACGGTTTAGCGTGCTAGCTAATAGTGTGAATTATGGTGAAGAATGAGACCGATTTTAGCTTTCTTGGTTTACTCCTCACTTCAAAAGTCAAGCAGCTCGGTGCTGCCGACAGCCTCAGCCTCAGCACAGGTGTGGTCCCAGCAGCTTTGAAAGCAGCAGTTGTTCGGCCGACCCTGAAGAAACCTGGTGCTGATGTCCTCTGTGATAGAAAATTACAGGCCTATCTCTACCCTGCCTTTTACATCAAAACTGCTTGAGAAAGTCGTTTATCAGCAGCTGGTCTCACATTTAGCTGACTCTGATCTGTTTTGAGGTTTTCCAATCAGGGTTCAGGTCGGCCATAGCACAGAGTCAGCTCTACTGAGGGTCCTAAATGACATCTACCTATCACTAGATCAGGGTACATCTGTGCTGCTTCTGTTGTTAGACCTGACAGCAGCCTTCGACACAGTTGACCACGCGATTCTGCTTGATTGCTTGGAACGATGGTTGGGATCAGAGGGTCAGCTCTGGATTGGTTTAGCTCGTGTCTCCACAACAGGACATTCTATGTTAAAGTAGGTGATGTTTTTTTCTTCTTGTGAGGGGCTCCGCTGGGGGGTCCCGCAGGGATCGATCCTTGGTCCTCTTTTGTTCCTCCTCAGACTGCTCTTTCCTCTCTGCTGTGAACACGGACCCAGGAATCATGCGTGTTAAACACGGCTCTACCAGCCGTCAGAAGACGGGCTGTTCACAGACAACAACTCCGTCACTTAAATGTAACCAATACGAACAGAACCAGACTCGAAACTGAACACGTGGAACATCTTAAATGAAACGATCAAACAGAGAAGAGCATTAGCCACTGACACATTAGCATTGGTACTGTCGGCACGGGGACCGGATTCGGTTTCCCACATTGGTCAGATATGCGTTTTTTATTTTTTTAGACCTCCTCACCAGCGGTCCGACTGGGACCAAGGTGACACTTTGGACTGATTGGCCCGGCTGAAATTACACCTACCGCCTCCGATTGATGAGTAGAGTCAGCCAGCGGGGGGTGGGGGGGGGGGGGGGGGGGGGGGTTCCGCATGTCCTCAGCTCATCGGATCTCATCCCAGCGAGCTGGCAGACAGCTGCTTAGGGAGGAGAACACTGTGTGTGTGTGTGTGTGTGTGTGTGTGTGTGTGTGTGTGTGTGTGTGTGTGTGTGTGTGTGTGTGTGTGTGTCCCAGCAGCGGAGACAGAGTTTTATGAGGAGGACGGACACAGCAAATTATTAAAATAATGTGGTTCAGAGTCCCTAAAAGCAACATAACTCTCACTTCGTTTGTTTTCCTCATTAAGGAGGACACGACGGACTTTCCCTCACGTCTTAAGACATACCCCATCTCGAACTTACGCTGGGCTGACCTGGAGCTGCTGACTATCCCACAGACTAGGTACAGGTCTAGAGGTGGTTGAGCTTTCTCGGTCTTGGCTCCTTCTGGACATGAGCGTCCACTCGATATGAAAACGGTCACTCAGTCTTCAAACAACTCTTGAAGACCTGCGGTGATGGTTTTTTATCGTTTGGATGTACGGGACTTGGTTTTATGCTCCTTTTACATTTTGTATGTTGCTTTTATGACTGTATGTTGTTTTCATCTCCTTTTTATTGCTCCTCGGTGTTTTTAGTGTGTTATGTTCAGTGACTTGGGCTCCTGCAAAGGCAGTAGAAGGCGCTTTATGAATAAAGATTGGTTGATTGATCTTAAACCCCGCCCGTGGGCTCGAG